TTATTGTGGACGGTTCGTAATGTGTAGATTCTAGTGTTAGATTTTTTTTTTTTTTTTATTGCGTATGTCCGTATAGTAGCATATTCTACCATTTTCGCATATTTACGATACGAATCGGCACATTTTATTTATTGCGTATAAAATCGCTGACCTCGGCGATCACTGATTAGTGTAAAGAGATGGTTTGATTGTGTACCCGTAATACAGCGATCGGTACCGAGCGTAGTGATGGGAATTTTCGAAGTTAATCATACTTTCATACGTGTGTTTACAATATAAATCGGGGCGCAAAATATTTTTGCCCCCCCCCCGATATATTAACCTTTAATGCAGCCCTGTGGATATAGCAAACAATAACCGTAAACAATTGTCTTTTCGACCTGACTCGACTATGGGATTCGGTGCCTAATTCAATATAGCCCAGAAAAAAACCCGATTTCTAATCGATACGTCAGAGGCTTGACAGTTTTTCCTCGTCACTTTGTTGTAGAAAATACATGTGTTACGCGTTTCGAATATGTCGATTGGAAAATCGTTTAGGTATGGTTTTTTCGTACATTTTCAAACCTTTGCGGAAGACGGATATAACCCCTAACCTCCCACATCCCCCATCCCTCCGCGTAATCCGCCGACCGCGGTATAATAGTTCTCGTTGTACGATTCCGGCGACGAATGTAAATCGCTTATTTGCAATCGTCTCGATCGAGCGGACCTGCAGCCCACAGGTTTATGTTCCGCCCGATGATAATCGCTATTATTGACGTTTGCGCTTCTATCGTAATCCAGGCGTGGCCGTACGCCGAGATATTCCGTCGATACAACACGACACGCGCGAACCGTACGCCCGATAACGATTATCGACATTTATTGCCCATACCTGAATATTGTACACCGCCGTGCTATGTTCAGAAAAAGAAAAAAAAAAGCGCGTTTAAAACGATTCGCCGTCTCTCGCGCGACTCGCGAAATTCGATAACACGTGCTTGCAATATTGCGTCGGCGGAACAAAATCAAACCAATTGTTTTCCGGGGAAAACTAATCGCAATACGCAGTGGCGCACACGTGTAACACCGTCACGCTAGCCCCTACGACCAGCGCGGTTTGTGCGTCGAATTATTAAATATTAATCGGTGATATTGTTTCGGCGTTATCAAAATAGTTGAATAAAGATTGACGGTGTCCCGAAACATTATATGTAACGTTACCTATTACGCGCCTACTTGTACGGTACCCGTTCCGCGTTCGATTTTAACCGTTTACTATGGTTTTGCTATAATATTACGGCGTGCGCTTTCTAGATGCGGTGCGTGTAAGTGTTGGTGTTTTGGCTATGATGTGAGTTTTTTTCCCCGGTAAAATATGCGAACAATTTTTCTACCAGAAATCTTGCTCCAATCGATGAACGACAACGGACCTTTATTCGTAGCACTTTGGGGATCTAGTTGGTGTACTGACGAGGTCATTTTGCTGGGTACCTGACCGGCGGAATATGTTTATAACATTATAATATACTACTGTGTAATCATTGAGTGCTCTCGTTTACTCCGTCTAATATTATTACAGTTATTAATCTATAATATTTATATTGCGGAAGGTAATATTAATGTTTAAAACACGACAATGCGGGCACCGTTGAAATAATTCATTGAAGTCGATTTATATTTTACACCTACTAGCAGAGCCATCTGTTTGACCGCCGAGACACTAATTATTCTGTATCAATAATCTAGATGGAACTGTAGTAATTATAATGAATAGAGTCTGTGGGATAGACACACGATATAGATAAATTTATCTACATCGTGGATAGCAATATAACTTATTGAAACCACACAATAAAGTATGGTAGTGTGACGTCATCATTATGTTATCATAATGTGACGAGATTTACTGGTTCCAAGCAAACAATATTTCACATTTTGAATTGTTGGTTTTTCAAAACGAAACAGTTTCGAAATTTTACTTTTTAAAGTTGATTTTATTCAGGCATTACGTCGAATACGTTCACAGTGCGGTCAACTTGATCAAAGAAATAAGTCTAAGGTCCCAACAGGTAAACGCACACGAATCGCTGTACTACTACGTTGAATTTAATTATCACCATACACATACAGACGCTCATCGCTCGCTGAGCTCTCCAAGCTTCTAGAAAATTCCAGACGAACGATAAACGCCTATGATATAAAAACGTGGGAAAATTGGAAAAAATTGTTAAAACGTTGAAAATTTAAAAAAATTGCATTATAAAATTAAATAGGCAGAATATTTCTAGTTTATATATCGGCTATATATTTAATCTGATCCGATTTATCTTTATTGCAATGGAAATTGCAATATCAATTAAATCCGGTCTTTGGTTATATATTATAGGCTTATTTAATAACATTATTCTGAATGACGAGCCACATTTAAATAGTACCTGATTTTTCACCCCCGATTTTAGATTTAGAACTCGTGTGAGTATAATTAGGAAATAAATTTATCTGAATCAAATTACCGTACAAAATAGTATTTTAAATAATGATAGCTTTAATAATAATGAAATTACGGCGGAGTTTCAATTTAAATATCGCATCTTTTGATAATTCGTCGTTGATAATTGCACATAGTACACCCAGGGTGCCTCTTGAAATTATTCAACTGTTTATCGCACAAATTACAAAAAAAGCTATTCCTGAAATGTAATAAAAATTTAATCGAAAAATTATCATAAGATAAGTCGATTACTGGTTTAAAGCCACTGGCAAATGTCACAAATGTTAATCGCATTAAAATAATAATATTTATTTATGATAAATGTGATGATACGGATAGGTAATACGTTTCAAAATTTGTTATTTTCTCAATTCTATTTTTAACTTTGTTATCATAATACCGTTTACCTAGAAGATCAATATTTTACAACGGCAAATTTCGAAGAGATGGCTGCTTTGTTCGCTACGAATAATATTTATGAACATGAGAATTTAATTCACGTGAGACAAATGTTAAAAACAGAATTTATAACGGATCCATTCACCCTGTCAAATAAATTATTTATTAAAAATTTCCGACTTACAAAAAATCTTGTTATTTTTTTTTAATGGAATTATTAAGACCACATACAGAAATAAAAATACGTGTGTATGCTATTTATTTAAAGACAAAAGACAATACCTAAAAGTTCATAATCAGTTTTACAAATATATTTATTTATATAATTTACTGGAAAACAATTATGAATCTTTGGCTATAAGCTCTATTAAAATTTTTATATGGCTTTGAATGGGTCTAGTTTTAGACATTATACAGATTAAAAAAAATTAACAATTACAAAAAAAAAAAAAAAAACTAGAAACAAAAACAAACTCGTGATTTAATTAAGAACTAATTAATAATTTGCATATTTATTTGAAGTTAGAATCTAGATTTTTTTATTTGTGTATCTAGCTTGTGTATTGTTACCACAGTGGTTCAGTCGGCATATTTTATCGCATTCGATAAGTGATAAAATCTTATCGATTCGGTTCAAGAATACCAATTGCATAACGCATGCGATAAAATCGATGATTTTTATCTTATGCGAGAACTTATCGCATGATTTCAAAAATTGGCCCCCAGAACCGACTCAAGGTATAGGCAAATTAGGCACCTGCTTAAAATGGCACTTTAGCAGGGGCGGCATTTTCAAAATTGATTCATACATTTTTTTTTAAATTTCTGTCGGTATTATAAAAACTAGTTTTGTGTAGATATTAAATATTGTTTATCATTACTAGTAAATTGTCTCTGTGTTTTTGATTTTGTCTGTGGGTGTGTTTGTGTGTGTGGCACACGCATTTTTGTAGTGGCATACGCATACGGGCAACGGGCGTAATAAAAATAATATTTGACTTTATAATTTGATTCTTTTTTCTTGTTTATTAAATCATTTCGTTTTGTCCGAATGTCCGATGATCAGTGTCGTAAGTCGTGCTCGTGATACAGGCTATACTGCAGTTTGAAATAGTTATCTAAAAGGTAAGTTTTATTTAATCGTAGTTTTAATTGTATTAAATAATTTTTAATTATAATTGATTGTACATGTTTATATGTAGAATTCTCGGGCCATGCGCCGCAAATACTATGAGACACACTCAACGTGTTAAATCAACTTTTAAATTTAAATAGGTATTTAATTTACTACTATATTTTATTTATAGAGTCCAATGTTTGAAAATGTCAGGAGAAGGAAATAAGCGGCAAAGTTTGTCGGTTGCACAATATAAAAAAAAGAATTGAACAAAAAGTAGATTTTGCTAGGCCATAGGCTAGTCTACTTCAATTTAACAAACTTTAATAAAACCAAATTAAAACGAATTTCAACAAATCGAACATAATTCGTCTGTAAATAACTTAACGCTTCATCCTGAAAATATTAATAATACCAATACGATTTGTGAGAAAATAATTGATAATAATGTGTGAGTGTCTATCAAATAATGTTCAAGATGATATTAATATCATCTTCGATGATAGTATTGAACTTGAATTTTTCGAGGATCCATCAAAATGGCCTTATCCATTGAATGATGGATGTAAGTTTTAGTAAGACCCAATATAAATAATATTAATATAACCCAGTTCACATTATTTTAACTCCATATCCTATAAATGATGACGGTAAATTATTTTCTAGAAAATACTTTTATCGAAGACTATCAAATGGTGGAAATATACAGCGTACTTGATTATTTATTCGAAATCTATTGATTCAGTATTTTGTTTCTGTTTTAAATTATTTAAATTTGGTACATTTTCTCTTGCTTCACATGGTAACCGAGATTAGAAAAATATAGGAGATATTCTCAAAAATCACGAAAATTCGCCTAATCATAAAAAGGCATTAATAAGTTGTAACAAATTAGAAATAGGAGTGAAAATGGGAAAAACTATAGATGATGTTAACCAGGTGATTATTAGAGTGGAAACTGAACACTGGAAAACTGTTATTAATCGTATAATATCATTTATTAAAATAATGGCTGGACAAAATTTACCTTTAAGAAGCAATTCTGATAAATTCAATACACCTCATAATGGTAATTGTTTTAAAATAATTGAGTTTTTGGGGCTATATAATCCTATCATGAAAAAGCATATAAAGCACATAAGAATAATAACTTCTAAGAAAATTCATTCCCAATATCTCGGTAAAAATATCCAGAATGATATTATTCAATTACTATCCAAAAATATTAATTTACAAATCATATCTGCTCTTAAAATGCCAAATATTATTCGATAATATTAAATTATACTCCTGACATAAGTTACAAAGAACAAATGATTATATTTAGATTTGTTACAACTACAGAAGGTATTAATAAGAATAAATAACATCTAAATGTAAAAATGAAAAAATAATACAAAACTCACCAAATAATATATCAGCAAGGTGGTAGGCGTGGTTTACAGCTGCCTACCACAGCAATACAGCGCGCAACACTATCTCGCCTTGTTTATGTTTCACTTTTGGTGTGTCGTCCTTTCGTTAGGCTATATTGTATATTTAATTTATAGTCAAACGCAGGGTCGTGCTCATGGAGGGCACGAGAGGTGCCAACGCACCGGGCACTATGGCTACAGGGGCACCAATAAAATTGTTTAAAGTTCTGTAGTTCAATATTTAGTATTAGTGAACGCCCAACGGAAAAATTTGGTTTTTTTTTTATTTACCATTGGTAAATATTTTTGGCACGACACTGGTCAAATGACTTGTCATACAAACTTCTCATATGGTAACACTGGATTACGAGTAGGTTGTGCCAGTCATTGTATTGATTATTATTGGA